CCCCGGGTGGGGAACAATCTCTCCCGTGACCTTCGGGGGGCGCCAGTACGGAAAGCATCTGCCGTTGTTCTGAAGGGAGGGCATTCCTTCCAGGTTAAGGACCAAAACCGCCGGCCAGATTCTCAGGTCATTCTGTTGAAGTGCAAGAGCTGGCGGCGCCTCGCTTATTCCAAATAATTATTCCATTCTGCTTGTTCCTCCGAGGATTTGTTTAGACAGCAGGGTGGGATGGGGTTGGTGGTGGAACAAAATGATTTGCTTCTGGCTCTCTTTTACATTCGCTATCGGGGGGAAAACGGGGAAATAAATGTTTCCTCTGGACCGAATGGATCCGACGGTGCCACTGCTGCTTCGACTTGACTGTATGTAGCAAGGAGAACTACTCGTTCTTACTAATGGAATCATCACCAATGTTATCATAGGGATTCGGGAGGGAGGTTAGATCTTAACCTTGCCCACTTCTGCTCGCCTTCGTCTCGTACCCAGAACTCCCTTTTGTGTTCCTCTCTCACATCTCCCCTGCTCTCCCCTCTGTACCTTTGCAGCAGCTCCCTGCAGCTCTTCATAAGGGGGTTTGGGCCTCAGATTGGCTGCTGTTCTCTCAGCTAGGTGAGTCTCACCCAATCCTTTATACATCTTCCTCTTTCTCCCGCATTCGTTAGGAGCAAGCCAAACTACCGAATATCGTTATAAGTTGTTATAACAACAGCGTGTGTCCAATACTATGATTTATTGTTTTATTCATGTAATAGTCCTTCATTAATACAGTCTTTTGATCAGTAATTAATCGTGAGTTGTGGTAACAGCCTATGACTTGCCATGTGTGTGCGTGGGTGCGTGTGTGTAAAAGCTCCACTGACACTTGGCTCGTTACTGAACCACAGTGGGCTCTGCCCAGGCCTCTGAGCCAGCAACTTGAGACCATTGAGAGGTTTTATCAATGGGAAAGAGAGTGTTTCAGCCAGCAGCCTAATCAACCTGCAACTCCCAACTGGCAGCCCACTGAAGCTCAGCAGGTGTGAGCCTGGTCAGTACCTGGATAAAGAGACCTCCTGGGAAAAACTAAGGTTTCTGCTGGAAGAGTAGTTAGTGGGGCCAGCAGGGGACACTCACCCTGTGGTCTATGTGGGTCCTTATAACCCAGTATGCTGACGGGGACATTATACTGTAAAAAACACACCATCCTTTTTGAGACATAAAACCAGTCCTGACTATGATAATTAAAAATCCCAGGGTTTTTCTCAAAAAGTGTACTAGTGTAACCCTGGTGTTCTGGCCAAATTTCCCCCTGGTCTTTACCCATCATGGCCTAATAACCCCCATCTCTGAACTGGCTTCATCACTCTGCTCTCCTCCCCACTGAGCTGGTGTGTGGGGAGCGTTCATTACCTGTAAAGGGCTTTGAGTGGAGTGTCCAGAAAAGCGATATATAAGTGTAAGTAATAATTATTATTGAAGTCAAAGCCAAGTGCCCACAATTCGAGTGCCTTGCATCAGTGTCCTATCAAAGGATCGCCGGTGGTCACTGTTTTTCACTTGCAAATCAAAGGTAACAAAGACATTTGGCCACACACACACAGCATAGCCTTTTATTTACATGCAACACAGAAAACCTGAACATCCCATCAGCCTGTACCTCTGACAGTTTAACCTATGCCTCACTGGCTGGGAATGTTTCTGTCAAAGACTAAAGCATGAATTACATTACATATGTATACATTAACAACCAGGGCAAAATAGACACTAATAAAGAAAAGACCCTCCTAGGTGATATGACTGTATCTTAACTCTGTTTCATAGTAGGAAGTAGGATTGCTTATCTTGCATACAGGTGAATGAATATTACTATAATATACACATATCCATCCATGGCTCAATGTAGTGTTTCCATGTGTGTCTGTTGTTCAAGAGAGCTGCTGCTGACATACACTGCCTAATCTTTGAGAAAGGGTTTCTTTCACTGTCCAACTTCTCCTGGATAGAATTTCATTCCCAGCCCGATTTGGGGAAAAAAAGGCGTGCTCCCCTGCCTCAGTTTCACGTTCCTCTCTTTATTCTGTGGAGACGATCATGACCGCACTAGGAAAGGCTCACCCGCTGTTAAATATTTATTAATTAACATGGTCATGATCGACAGTGAATGTAAGTAACTAGAGTAAATCACTCCTTTTGATCAGCTGTCTTCCTTGTGTTTGGTTGCCTCTTAGCCCAAGAACGGTTTGCTAAATACAGATGAGCAATACCCAATCCCAAAGATCATCACGATGAGAAGTGTACACATTGCTAACCCAGATGAAAATAAGTGCCCCCCCCCCATCCCAGTACCAACACTGGGACAGTGGGCTGGTGCAGACTTTCTTGAAATATCATGATTTTAGGCAGTGCAATACTCTGAATAAATTCATCGGTACTAAATGTTGCATAAAATCATGCTTTTCCCCTATGCATAATAAAAATAATCTAATAAAAAAATTAATTTAAAAAATAATATGTTGTAAGTACAAAGTTCTGATGGGTTTTATAGACAGAATTCAACTTTCAGGGACAGGAGGAGCTTGGTGATTCCTGGGAGGCTTGATCACCAGGTCGTTATTAGTGTCAATCGTGCGAAATAATGGAAAGAGCCTCTCCCCTTCGTTGAAGGCCATGTCGCTGAAGGTGTAGATGTGCTCTCTGCTCTCCACTTTGTAAAAGGAGACCCGCCTCTCCTCGATGTCCAGAAACACCCCCAGCGTCCTGGGCAGCAGGGTGCGAGAGAGGGGGGTCAAGGGGGCGGTGAGAGCCGAGAGATTGTGACGGTTGTACGCTAGCGTCCAGTAGCCCTGCCCAGGAGTGAAGGCAAACGCTCCTTTCCTCGGCGCAGACTCCGCGGCGATGCCTATCGTCCAGTGCTTGTTCACCTTCACCTCCCAGTAGTGCTGGCCCGCGCTGAAGCCCTCCTTGCTCACAACGCAGGACCACTTTTGAAATCTCCACTGGCTGTCGGGAAGGTCTCTCCATCTCCGCCCTCGCACCCTCTTCCCGTTCCCCGATAGCAACAGCTCGTGTTGGACGGTATCGGGATCCAGCGTCACGTCCGCTGGAGGAGAAAAGAAGATGAGATTGGGCTGGACCCACCAAGCAGTCTGGTAAGTGCCAAAATACAGGAAAGTGTTTTAACAGGCTGTTGGGGTCACCCTCAGCCCCCAGAACTTCAATGCCCCTTGGCCAGATTCCACGACTGTCTGGGACCCTGTTATCATCCTAACACATTCCTCTCCCATCAGGATAGCATGCCTCCCCCTAGGATGAGTGTGATCACACAGAGTGGCTTCGTATCTTATTGGCGTTTACCTTGACCTCTAAGGGGTTGAGTGGACTTTAGACATGCCAGGAAAATGTATCTGACACCATAACTGAGCATCCAGAACCCTTCACCGTGGGCGATAAGCACTCTTTCAGCATGCACCCCATGCTATCATCCGCTTGTAGAGAACAGGGTGAAGGATGCCTCATCTGACCCACTGGCGTTTTTCCACAGCTCATAAGACTAAGAATACGACAGCCTCTGTTTCTTTGCACCACTTTACTCACAAAGGTGCATTTTCAGTTGGAATAAGGGGTTTACGCACTGCTACCTAACCATACAATCCCTCTCCATCAATCTTTTGACAGACTGTACCTGACGAAACTCCCTGCTCGCGCCTTAAATTGACATTGGCAGTTAACCGAGCCCAAGTCGGTCGTCCGTCTTGCCTCGGATCTTGAGCCGCTTGCATGGATAGTGCAGTCTGAGAATGGTTTTGTTCACAGTTGCCCCTAATGGACGATGTCTTTCCCTCAGACTCCCATGCCACCCTCACCTTGAGCCACGGTTCCTCATGGAACATCAGCAAGTTGGGGGAGCTTTCGTCCCGGAAGCTCCTGCCAAGTGCGCCTCGACAATCACCCCTTGCTCAGAGTCACCCAGTGTCTTCTAGACATGGTAGCCAAACTAATGGACAACTGGGCCTGCCAGGCATTTTTATACATGACCCTGAGCATGATGGGCTGTTAATTGCTTATTTAACTCCAGAACCACACCTCTGCTTTCAATCTGCTTCGTATCCCTCAATTCGTGAAGCGTCCCCTTTCTTTTGGCAGCGACCTGTCAATACAAGTTTCATAGTGCTTCTAACCAGCACTCCCAGAATTCAGCGGTTTAAACACCCCACCTTTCCATGGAATGACAGCAGAATATACATTTTGTGCACCTTCGTTTACCTGCAGTGCTGCTCAGCCACGCCCATTCTGGAATACAGGAACAGACAGGATTAATGAGCACTGCGGGTACCTTGTGTGTTGTGTAGTGTGATGTACTGTAGGTACACAGTGAATAAGAAGAGATCCAACAACAACAGTCTGTGTGTTGTTCTCATACCTGCATTACGGCAACACCTCACCATATCTGGAAAGAGGAGAGAGGGGTGGAAGTGAAAAATTGTGGAATATTTTTAGTGATCGTTTGCTTTCCATCACACAGAAAAAAACATTATTTTCTTCTAATAAAATATACACATTGGCACAAATCTAGTAGTTAGCAATAAAGAGAATGAACACATAACTGCCACTGGTGCAGAACTGAAATTTGTGTGACATGCAGCTAATAAACAGCCTCACTACTGGTTATTTTGTGATCCAATGCAGTGTACAAACTACAGACTAACTGCACTACTATGTGTAGCTTACAAAATCCTAAGCTAAATACTACTTAGAAAACCGACACCATCCATGGAAGAAGCCATAGGTTTTCAACAAGCAGGTTTCAGAAAGAATAAATCAACAGTGGACCAGATGCATACTCTAAGAGAGATATTGGCAAAAAGGAGTTTAATCGAGAAATATATTGCCCCTTTGTGGATTTTAAGAAAGCTTACGATGGCATAGACGGGAAAGCGGTTTTGAGAGAAATGGAAAAAAACAGGAGTCCCAGAGAAACTGATAAGACTTACAAAAAAGGGTGTTGAATGCTCAAGATGCAGAGTAAGACTGGGCAACTAGCAGAAATGGTTGAGGTCAAGACTGG